GGGGGGGGGCGGAGCAGGATATAAATAATTTGTTGAGATCTTGGTTAGGCAGTCTGAATTTTTCTTGATGTTTCACAGTAGACAAATACATGGCATATTACTTGTATCAGGAATATATTTGATTTCAGACAAATCTTTGCAGACACACAGTTATGTTAGATACATGAAAGCATCACTAAAGAATGTGAATTTTCCTAGTATGTCTGGTGAGACAGAGTATGATGTAACAAAAATTTTAATAAAAGATTTATCAAAGGCCACTTGAAGTAAGCAGTCTTCCAGAACCAGATTTACTATTAAAGTTCCAAATGAAAAGGACAGGTATTATGTAAGGAAGGGGAAAAACCCATGAAGATAAAAGACAGAATGGCTAGTGCCAATACATTCTATTTCAGTGATTTAAATTGTTTTAGTGCAGAGAGGCTGCTTGCCCACTAAAACCTCTGCAGCACACCCTATCTACACACTCCTTGATTTCTAGTATCAAAGTTAAATAAACCAAGGAAACTGGGTTTTCATACCTTTGAGCCAGTTTTCCCATAAACTTTCTACATGTACTGGTTCAACTATTTTAATCCTCTGATTGGGTTCTGTTTCAAGGAAGTCTTAAAATCCCTTTTTAAACAGAAAACAAAACACAAGTTCAAGGTTGCTATAATATGCCAGTTGATTACCATCTGGCCATAAAGTTAACTTTTCACCTTTAACTACATTTTGGATTTCTAATGTTTGAAGGAAAGCCTTTTTTTAGTACCCATTCTCCTCCCAACTCAAACTTACAAGATTTATATTGGACTGCTCCTCCCTGTCTCTGCAACTGCTGTTTGATGGCAGCATGCTCCCAATTTCCCTGGGTTATATTTGTGTGGATGTGTTTCCTTATCTTTTCTATCCTCCATCTTCTTTCTCCAAACCTTCCAGTAAGTCACAAAACACCATGCATGTAGCAATGCCAATGCTTTGCACATTCCCACATGTAATAAAATAGGCACATACAAACATCAAACCTCTTTTAAAGATACATCAAAATATTTTGCCATTATTATGATTTAGCTGGTTGATACTTCTCAGTAGACTATGATGTAATTGAAGACAAACTGCTAAGATTCTGAGTACTGCAACAATTGCAAAGACTCCAGCAACATAATATGCAAAATTCTTACCAGAGTAAGTAACCGCTGTTGTACTGTATGTTGCACTTTGAGTATAGGATGGAACAACAGTAGCTGCAGCAGCTACTGGCTGCACAGCAGAGGATACTGGATATATAGAAAATGTAGTTGTTGCTGAACTCGGGGTTGCAGGCTTTATAGCTGTCACTTGTCGTGTTTGCTGGGCTTGGGTATATTGAGTTGACCCTTGGCTATATCCTGCTTTTGGAGCTAGTTAGGATAGAAAATACAGTGTACAAACATGGATATATTTTAGTTGAATGAAATGCAAACCATATTAAGTGATAATTATATGCTGGGGAATAAACACATACGTGGTTTTTGGTTTAGTTTGGTTGTTTTCTGCTTTTTTAATTTATTTTTTTCTTTTTACAGTAATGGTTACATACCACCTACCATATATCACACAACTGTTTAATCGTGTCGCAGCTCACACTAGTAAGCCTCAGATTTATTTATGCATTTTAACTGTGCTGCCATGTTTTTAAACAATCTTCTCGTTCAATGGTTATACTAGAGTACACTAAACCAAAGTACATCTAAACTTTCCTATAATTCCTAAGTAAAAAAGTAAATAGTATTTACTCTTTATAGCATTCATGATACCAATAATTAAAGAACTACAGACATTAAGCAACTAAAGAATAAAAAAAAGTCTTCCTAACCAAGTTATCATCTGAACCCACCACTGACGTTTTGAACCTACTTCAGCAAAAAAGTTTACCTAGAAGTACGTTTTGAGTGTATTTAATAACAATCGAAACCTCAAAGGTATTTATGAAAATGTCACAATAATGTTCAAGTTCTAGGTGCAGCAAATTTTTCTACATGTCAACAGGGATTCCATGTCAAAACAAAACAAAAAATCTGGATGATGTGAAATATTCAGACACATTTTAAGGTATTAAATTACTACACAGACTGTGTATAATGAGAGGAGTTTGAATCATGTCACCAACCTGTCTGGTAGTACGATTCAGCTACTGAAGGTTGAGGCTGGGCAGCAGCAGCCACAGCCGTCACTGTTGGTTGTTGATAGTATTGTTTGCTGTCATAAGCTACAGCTGGGGCAGTAGATCGAACATAAGAATAGGAATCCTAAAAATTCAAAAAATAAAAACCAGCAAATTAATCCTTAAGTATATATGTGGAGTAATAAAAATCATTAGCAGAATCAAAGAATTTTGTTCTATTCTACTAAAGTAGATTTTAAAAAATACTCACAGATACAGTATATACTAATATATGCATTAAAGAAATGAAATTCTTTTTCAGATACTTCATGCCTGAAAACAATCCTAATGGTCTTTTTCAGATCTAATATAGGAATTAACTATTAATTAACTATTAAATCACTTTCTCTTTCAACAGATTTTTATTACCAAAAAGCAACTATTCTCACTAGTTTTCATAATGACTGTACCAGATTACATTCCTGTAATTATGAAGGAAGAAAACACCACAGATCTCCACAAATCCAAATAAATTCACACTTTTACAAACATGACCCTTTATTGACTTTAAAACAATACTTTTATTGGTTATATTTTTTAGAGTATGAAAGTGATACTTTTAAAGCCCTCTTTACTTTTTGATGTATCAACTATTCAATTGGGAAACTGTATCTAGTTTATAAGGGTAAGGTAAGTAGCCCATTCGACACCTCCCAAACTCAGGAGAGGGTTAGTAAGTTTATAAGGGGAGGGCTTGGAAGACACTATATGCATATACAGATATTCTCACATCCTCACCATATTTATAGTAAAACATAATTAGTTGATCAACTAAGGGGTAAGCAAGACATGAAATACATTCACTGAAATGTACTAATGTATTAAATTTATTTTATTTCAAATAAGTATAACAATAACATCTCTTACATCCAACTTGTGTAAAGTAGAATAATTTTTCTTTAGTTTAGGGGACTCTTTTCTCTCTGAATGCATCTAATAACTGACTAGCTTAATGACCTCAATTATGAGGAAACATGCTACTGGAAAGACTCCTACATTTCAATTCATTACCATATATAACAAATTATAAAAGCCATACAAAGGAATTAATAACATACAGCAACAGTATAGCCCTTTTAAACAAACAAAAATACTAATTAGAACCTAGATAATGCTTTGATAAGTTTATGACTAAAAAGTTAAATAATTGTAACAAGACATACTATGTCAATGTCCTCTGTCTCATAGTAAATGCACATTTTAACTATGAGCTACACTGTAGAGTTTGATAAATCTTGTGCATAAATACACCAGCCTAGAAATACCCACTGGAGACTAACATGCTAATGTAGCAAAAAAGCTGATAAAAATACAAATAAAGCTCACATTTCCAATGGGAAACTACCTGGCCATGTAAAACTCCTAATCTTTCTGCATCTAAGCTGATTTTTAACACACCTGGTAATTCTGCGTAGTGACAGGAGGGGGTGGTGGTGGAGCTTCTTGTTGCCTCTGTGTATAACCATAATCTGTAGCTGTGTGCGCTGTAGGATAGCCTCCATAAGCAGCAGCTGTTGCAACAGCTACTGGAGCAGGCCTGGCTACTGCCACTGTAGCTGCTGCTGGAGCGTAGGCCGCAGTAACAGTGTGCGCAGCGACTGGTGCCTGGTGGACAGTATAGCTAGCAACTGTAGTTGGATGGGAATAGGCTACACCCGAAGCTGGCTGCTGGCTAGATTGGAAAAAGACAGCAAATGAATAATTAGATTAATTCAACATACTAAGCTAATGCCTAAACATTTCAAAATTCCAGTTTTGATTAATACTTGTCTGTTCTACAAACAGTCCTGAATCTATGCATACACTTTAATGGTTTTTAATCTCTCTCTTCCACCCGCATTAAAAAGGCTGTATCATTTTTAAGTTTCTGTGGATGCAGATACATCATGCATTACTTTCTTCGCAAGGGGCAGTTGGGGGTGGTGGTTGCGTTCAAAAGAACCCAAGTCTTTAATTCAAAATAATACAGAAGTCTGTCGCACTAAGGGTTAAAGTAATTTGGCAGAAAATAAACCCCCTTATGTTCCAGCTTGTCCTCAGATATCAGAAGAGCTGAGGCAGGCTGGGCTTAGATTCTGATTGATGCCAAATTTGGTGTTAATAGTCCAGTTGTGCCCAATACCTCTATTGGACCATCGTGATTACAGATGCACCAACGCTACAATGTCCATCTGTTCACATTCTGTGAACTCACATGGCTACACTCAGGAATTTGGTCACGTTCAAGAACTGTCTCAGCCAGATTAATGAGCAGTGTAATTCATTAAAGCAACAGATGCACAAATTCTTTTAGATTGCCAGTGATAAATTCACTATCTGCAAAGCACGTGCAAATTTATTAATATGGCCAGGTTACACACGCATGGAACTAAAATGATTCTATAGAGATTCCCAAGTTTCCCAAGGATGCACTTGAGATAGCAGTGTTCAAATCTTACCCTGACATCCACCCCCCTCTCAGGCTATTTTATAGTATTTTACTTTACAGGTGGAGCTTGAGCGACTCTAGTCATACATACCTTTATCGTGATTGGTCCAAAATTCTCTCGCTTCATGTTAAAAGGTATAGACTAGAGAAAATCCAGTGTGCAAACTCAGTGAGGGGTGGTCGCGCCTTGGGAGACAGGTAACTTTTGGGATGCAGCTGTGTTTTGGTATTATAATGAGATTATAATGAACAAAGTTCGCTCTGAGGACAGCATTTCACCAAAAGTTGACAGACTGGCCCAGGGTATCAAATGTGCAGCTTATCAGTTATATTAAGTATACTGTGTACCTTTAGATCTCTGTTATCACGGAGCGTGGCCGCAGCATCTCCATTCCACTCCACTCTCCATGCAGTTTCTCTTAGAGTCAAGCACACCAAGTTCCCCTGATGTTGGCAACATCTAGGGTTGCCTAGGGAATTGCTTTGGTACAAACTCACTGCATTCCACCCTGCTTCAATGTGGCACCTTTCACATAATCTTAGGGGTTGGAAGGGACCTTGAAAGATCATCCAGTCCAATCCCCCTACCAGAGCAGGGTCACCTAGAGTACATCACATGGGAATGCATCCAGGCAGGTTTTTAATATCTCCAGAGAAGTACACTCCACAATTCTGGGCAGCCTGTTCCAGTGTTCTGTCACCCTCACAGTAAAGAAGTTTTTCCTCACGTTTACTCAGCTACTACCCCCTCTCCTATTCTAGTTTAAAGCTCTATGAATGAACCCTGCTAACTCTTGTCCCAGAACCCTTTTTCCCCTGAAAGTTAAGCCTTTTCCACATTTTACTGTCAGACCTGGTGTCTTATAAAACCAACTATGGTCAAAGAACCCAAAGCCCTGCCTGTAGCACCAGGCTAAAATGTGAATACAGGTTTAATTTCTAAGTCACCTCTAGCAATTATTCATAGAATCATAGAATGGTTAGAGTTGGAAGGGACCTTAAAGATCATCTAGTTCAAACCCCCCTGCATGGGCAGGGACACCTCCCACTAGATCAAGTTTCTCAGAGCCCCATCCAACCTGGCCTTCAATGCTTCCAGGGATGGCGCTTCCACAACTTCTCTGGGCAACCTTTTCCACTGTCTCACTACCCTCACACTAAAGAATTTCCTCCTGATCTCTAACCTAAATCTCTCCTCTTTCACTTTAAAACCATTACCCCATATCCTCTCACCACAAGCCCTTGTAAAAAGTCCCTCCCCAGCTTTCCTGTAGGCCCCCTTCAGGTACTGGAAGGCCACTATGAGGTCCCCCCAGAGCCTTCTCCTTTTCAGGCTGAACAACCCCAACTCCCTCAGCCTGTCTTCATAAGAGGTGCTTCAGCCCTCAGATAATTTTCATTGCCCTCCTCTAGACACATTCCACATCTTTCTTGTGTTGGGGGCTCCAGAGCTGGACACAGTATTCCAGGTGAGGTCTCACCAGGGCAGAGTAGAGAGGCAGAATCACCTCTCTCGATCTGCTGGCCACACTTCTTTTGATGCAGCCCAGTATGTGGTTGGCCTTCTGGGCTGCAATTGCACATTGGTGGCTCATGTCCAGCTTTTGGTCCACTAATAGTCCCAGGTCTTTTTCCACATTGTTGCTCTCAAGTGTGTCCTCCCCCAGCCTGTATTCATATCTCAGGTTACCTCAGCCCAGGTGCAGGATCTTGCACTTGGCCTTGTTGAACCTCATGAGGTTCACCTGGGCCTGCTTCTCCAGCTTGTCCAGGTCCCTCTGGATGGTATCCCATCCCTCTGGCATATTGACTGCACTACCCAGCTTGGTATCATCAGCAAACTTGCTGATGGTGCTCTCAACGCCACTGTCAATATCATTAATAAAGATATTAAACAACACTGGGCCCAGTATGGACCCCTGAGGGACACCACTTGTCACCATTTTTCATCTGGACTTAGAGCCATTGACCACTACTCTCTGGATGCAACCATCCAGCCAGTTCCTTATCCACTGAACAGTCCACCCATCAAACCTATAGCTCTTCAGAGAGAAGGATGCTGTGGGGGACTGTGTCAAAGGCCTTGCAGAAGTCCAGATAGATGACATCTGCTGCTTTTCCCTTGTCGACTGATGTAGTCACATCATTGTAGAAAGCCACTAAGTTGGTTAGGCAGGTATTGCCCCTGGTAAAGCCATGCTGGCTGCCCTGAATCACCGCCCTGTCTTCCATGTGCCTTGCTCTTCAGAGAGAAGGATGCTGTGGGGGACTGTGTCAAAGGCCTTGCAGAAGTCCAGATAGATGACATCTGCTGCTTTTCCCTTGTCGACTGATGTAGTCACATCATTGTAGAAAGCCACTAAGTTGGTTAGGCAGGTATTGCCCCTGGTAAAGCCATGCTGGCTGCCCTGAATCACCGCCCTGTCTTCCATGTGCCTTCACATATCTTCTGGGAGGATCTGTTCCATTATATTCCCAGGCACAGAGGTGAGGCTGACAGGTCAGTAGTTCCTAGGGTCCTCCCACCCTTTTTAAAAATGCGTGTAATGTGCCCTTTCTTCCAGTCACCAGGGACTTCACCTGACTGCCATGACTCTTCAAATATCATGGACAGTCTTACAGTGTTATCTTTTAATGACTGATAATTTAAAGTGTTTTAGTAGGTCATCAATAAAACTGACATCTGTCAAACTAAGAAAAATACTACTTTTCTGTGAGAGCTCATTACTGACCTGCACTTGCATGATGTTTTTAAGTAAATGTCCTAGTTTGAGCCAGGATGAAGCCAATTTTCCTTTTACTGATTTATTTTTTTCTTTCAGTCAGCTCTCTTTTAACCAGCAGCAAGTGTTCCAGCTAGTGGACTAACACTGGAATGTTTATGCTACTGATGAGGTTTCAAGGTCACATCTTTGCCCTGCCACCTCAGACACTACTGGGAGAAGGAGAGTTATATCTATGATACCCCTGTAGGAGGCTGGACTAGACAGACAGCAAAGTTGACCAAAGTATTCCATATATCTACGTAAGCTTGGTGTAAGGTCAGAGATCACAGAAGACAACTTCCTTCCTGCTTCTTCTTCCCTTCTCTTACATCCATGGCTGGCATCCAGGGAGGACTCCATCTATCCATCACCGTTGACCCTTAGGCTACTGCATTCCTGACCCTCATAACTCTACCCTCAGCTCCTGTCTGCTCTGCCGCTCTCTCCGGCAGTGCTCTGGGACTTTTCAGGACTGTTCACAGCTCAGGAGAGTGCCATGGGAGTTGCTGGGGGTGGGGGGAGGCAATAGGGATTTTGCACATTCCTGAACACATTTGTATATAACTGTACATATTTTTGTTTTGGTTTGAGCCAGGATGAAGCCAATTTTTCTTTTTACTGATTTTTTTTTCCTTCAGTAAGCTTTCTTGTAACTAGCAACAGTGTGTTCTGCTAGGCTGATAAGACAGTGGAATGTTTTTCTAACTACTGAGGCTTCAAGGCCGCACCTGCACTCTGCCGGCTCAGACACTATGGGGAGATCTGTGACCCCCCCCGTAGGAGGCTGAGTTAGATGGACAGCAAAATTGGCCAAAGATATTCCATTCCATATATCTACGTAAGCTCAGAGGAAGGTCAGAGATCACAGAAGACAACTCCCTTCCTGCTTCTTCTCCCCTTCTCTTCCGTCCATGGCCGGCGTCCAGGGAGGACTCTGTTCATCCATCAC